GGGGGGGGAAGAGAGTTCATTTTTTTATTTTTTAAAAAGCAGCATACAAAAAATAAGAGCTTTCCTCTTAACCACAGTTATGAAATAAAGATGAAAGTCTTTCACATACCATTTTTCTTCCAGCTTCTTCCACACACAGTTAGATTTATAAAGAGAAACTCAAGGTAGTATAAGTAGCATTTCCTCCTCTAACTTTATCCAACAATTATGACCTTATGTAGTACATTAGGCTGAGAAATCATAAATACCTTAAAATCACTGAAATAATTTCCATTATCAAGTAAAGACTTGAACCTGGATCTTCCTGGTCAAAGTTTGATACCTTACCACTAAATACTGATTATCAGCAACCAGTGAATTTATTTTTTGAACCTCACTTTTCTGTGCTGAAATGGCACAATAAACACAAGGCTTTCTTCTCCCTCCTGGAAACCCTGTTCAGGACTGCTTAGGTCAGGGTTTTCAAACTGTGTTCCACAAAACCCTTGCGGTTTTATAAGAACTTAATGGGCTTCCTGGAGAGGCTAAGGACAGGAAAAAAAAAAAACCCACTCATATTCCACCAGCAGTGTCCACTGCAACTTTTCTAAGAAAAGGGTGAGACTGGTCGGCTGACATTCACAAGACCCATCTCCCCGGGGACACCTTTGCTCATAACAATTTGTCACTCTGTGTGTGAGAAGCAGGCAGGGTTCTGGGAATTGTTTTTAAAACAGGTTCTATGACTTGAAAAAGTTTGGAAGCTCAAATCCTCTAGTAATAAGCAGGGGAATGATGAATGTATGCAAGAATTACTATGTATGGATATGGGCATATGCACACATATCTGTATACAGCTTCAAGTGTTTAGTGGGCACTGCGTGTGACTCAGAATCAAAATGATTGGCTGCATCAGCGGTATACTCTGATTAATATTGAATAGTGACAAAAAGGGAGCATTTTCATGAAAGACAAGATATATGAAGGGCAAAGATGGGTAAGTGAATCATGGTTAAAGGTTCTTGTACTGGGGTGTGAGACATAGCTCCTTCAAAGAATATGCTTTGCTTAGCTTAAAGAGTTCTGCCAAACAGATTTAATAAAATCTTGCCCACTGCAGTGAACAGTACCAGCAATGGCACTGGATAAGATGCTTTACTGATAAACAAATTTCCTCAACTTTTCCAAATTCTGTTGTGCTGGGGGTACTTTTTTTCTTTTGAGAGACAGATCTCCCAAAGTAATCAACTGGATCACACTGTATGCAATACAACTAAACTAAAAGTGGGTGGAACTAATAACGTCTTTGGACACCCTTTCTTCTTTCTGCTACCCCCTGCTTTTCCTCTCTGATAACATTTTCCTTCTCACAAATCAAGTCACCAAGGTTTTGACAGTATGCTTTTGCTGGAGATCATAACTGATTGTCTGCAAAGGACTTTTGAA